GCTAGTTCTCAGGAGAGAACTTGGAGAACAACTCAAGGTCTGAACCTCACTAGTCTGAAGTTAAGCCCTGCTGCTGCTGAGCTCTCTGCTGAACCCTCAGTCCCTGGACCCTTCTGGTTCCCTCTCTCCAACGCTCAGTCTGAACCACCATCAGGTACAGATCAGTCCCAAGCACTGTCAAGACTCTCCTCCTTCCTGGCTAACCAAACTGTCCCTCTCTGCAAAGAACCTGATACCAGTCCCGGACCCGTTCCAGCATCAGTTCAAAATAACCTTTGTGTGCTTTATTCAATAAACAGTTGAAAACTTTTACTCAGTCTCCGTGGTGTTCTGCATTTGGGTTTAGCTCCATAGACCCAACATGACAATCACGCTTATCCCAAGCTGGGTCAGGAGGGGTGCTAGTGCCTATCTCCAGCTGTCTGTGGGCGAGAGGTAGGGTACACCCTGGACAGGTTGCCAGTCCATTGCAAGGCAACACAGAGACAAACAACCATTTGCGCACACACTCACACCTAAGGACAATTTTAGAAAAACCAATTAACCTAACAGTCATGTCTTTGGACTGTGGGAGGAAGCCGGAGTACCCCGAGAGAACCCTAGCATGCCCAGGGAGAACATGCAAACTTCGTGGGAATCGAACCCTGAACTTCTTGCTTCAAGGCAATGTAAAAAAAAAAAATTCAATATTCAATAAAATATTACTTTTCCAAATAATGTATTTTTGAGGTCTTGTGTTTGTATTGTAAATTTGAACACATTCCAAATGCTCTAAATTAGTTAGAAGCTAATTTGACCACATTCCACATTTTTCAAGATAAACTTTGGTTCTCAAACATAAAACCCATGCTTAACTGTGAAAACACTGAACCACTTTGTTGATCAGGGTTTTCAACCATGTTTTTCTTTCTTCTTTGTGTACGTTGTAGCTAAGATTAGTGGAGCTATAGTCAAGAGTTTTAACTGAAATGCGTTTGCCTTGGAGCCGAATGATTTTTGTCATTAAACTGTTATATTTTGAATGGAAGCTGTGGTGAATTTATTTGATGTCATTGCACAGTTAAGGCGGGCATACACCATATGATTTATTTCAATCTTTGTACTCGGCTACAGCTCAAACTGTACGACAAACCCGCAGGGTTTAAAAGTTCACAGCTTACGACGTACTGTATGTTCTTACACTGTACGAACCGGTGTGGTGGCAGTCGTGAGAGAATGATGGCCCCACGTTAACCCCTGTATACTAGATGACGCAGGATGCGCCATGAGGAGGAAACTCGATCTAAAAAAATCTTGCATGACTGAATAATTGGCAGCTAAAGTGTGTTCATAGAATAATATATTACAGTTGGCATATTATTTGATTAAAATACATTTTTGCCACCACTATTGGAGTTGAAATTAAATATATCATAGTTGCACAACATAGCTTATCTTAAGATTCTAATATGTTGGCTTGTTAATGAGTATGTTGACTAACAGCTTAAAGATTGATTTTTTTTTAAGGGTACGTAAATTCTGTCAGGTAGGTATGTAATGATTGTTCTAATTTATTAAATATGACTGTATACATAAGGTCACAAAGACAATTATCTCCAGCTTTGTGATGTAAGGCTGATATAAACACAATCCAAATCTAGAAAAAAACTGGATTCTTAGCTCTTCAAAATAGTCAATGGCTCTACTCTACCACTGCAGCAAAAGCGTTCCGTGATAAATAGGTTGTGTGGTCTAAGCCTAACCTGAATTAATGGAGTGTCACTCACATCTCTCGGTTTCACAGAGCTTCAACCTGATCAAATTCATGCCAAGAAAGGTTAATCCTGCTGGTCATGATAACATAACAGGTTCACATATGAATCTTCACACCCCAATCCCCTGAGGGAGACACATCAGAGTATCTGCACACATGCTGTATGGTGGGATACTTTTGGACTTTCATCTTAAATGTGCTTTAAAAACAGAACACATCACCTGCAAACATCCAACCACTTCAGTAATCCACAAAGAGCTCTCACAAAGAGAGCACTACAAAAGTATTTACAATCTGTATACTTTTCCTAAATATAATTGCATTGAACTATAAGGTTCAGTGCATTATATTATACTTTATATGTGATCAAATAAAATAAAGTAGTGCAAAATTTTAAGAGGAAGAAAATTTATTTTAAATTAAATTATAACTTTTCTCCTTTCAAACTCTGTCACAGTCAAATATTTGTAAAGCTCTGTATTCTTATTTCTATTCAGAAACAGCTGTAAGGCTTTTTGGAAATGTGTCTACTAGAATTATGCATCTGATTGATGTTTCTTGCCAAATCAGTTGAAGCTCAGTCAGACTTGAAGGAACAGCCTCTCTAAAACAATTAGTCACAATTATCTTTAAATTTGGACCACCCGACGGGGCTATTATAATAAATAAATCCTAGAAATAAATTATTTAAACTATACTTCTATACTATACAATACAAGTATGTTACGTATGTAAATAATACAAGATGCTCAAATTGTTTTATAGCCTGAGAGGTTTCATTCTAGAACTGCCAGTCCATCTTTTTATTAGCTGAGCAACTTTCTAGTTTTCTTTTCTTACTAAAGAAATGCATACACAGCATAATAGTGCTACTAAAATGTGCTATCATGCAGATGATATCCAGTTGTAGAGTTAATTTTGCTGATACAAAATGCCTGAACTGCACAGATTGTAAATGCATCGAGGGCAGGGTAATTCAAATTGGTATTCTGCAGTCAATATCCTGCAACTTTAAGGTGTTTTTCTGCTGTTAATAAACCTTATTCAGGTGATTGTATTTTAGCAAACACTTTTCAAATAGCCATAAGTGGAATTCAGGTGAGCTCAGGCATGGACAGAACTAAGGCATGCATAACACCAGCCCCTGAAGACTGAAGCTGAATACCCCTGCCTGCTACGCTGTTTTAATGCTACAGCTTCAAAGCCTTATACTGTAGCTTACTTGATCTGGTTGGCTAAAAAGCCATTCAAACCCAGGGCTGTTGTGTAAAATCCTAAAAATGCTTTTAACGGCTTAAGGAGTTTATCTTTCACTTGGCTGCTGGTATTCTTGACCTTAATAATGCAATTTTCACAAATTTTCCTAAACTAGTATTTAAGATAATGAAATAACAGCTGAATTTATAATATACTGGGAAGCATTACACACAAGTGAATGACATTCAGTTGCTGTGGATTTCAATCTGGGATGTTACAAAAAAACGGGTCTGAATAAAATTTGTCACCTCATCTTTGAAAGCAAAGTGTTTTAAATATGGGATGTTGTAATTTAAGGGATATTAGACAAGGGCTGGATGGATGGTGATTGTAAATAAAACATACACTTCTCCAGTTACAATGATCTTCTAAAATATAATCAAGAAGATCCGTGTGATTTGTAAGACAAATTGCTCTCTACTAATTTAACTTAACGAGGCAAAGCAAAGGGGAATAAATTCAAACACCTGGTACTATTTCCCAGAGTTTTATTTGTAAAGTAAAATGAAATATAAGGGACTTTACTTGTAATACACAAAAAATGCATAGTACCTCTGATTTTGATGTTTCTGAAGGAATGGTTCTCTCCTGATGAGACTCAGCGGGTCTGGTAATTCCTGTCATCATCTTGATGCATCTGTAGAAATCAGTTTGACAACAAAAAGCAAGTTACTTTTTTGTGAAAAAACAAATGGATGTACTCATTTTTTTTTTTTTTGAGAACCTGTATACTCATAGAGCTCATAGAGCGTTACTGACAGCATAAATGTAGTACCCTCTCTCATGTGAGCTGTGTGCAGTTGTCTCTTTTTGTTTGAGTGAGTTGCTGAAGGTTGGGAAATAATATGCACTTAATACTTTGTTGAGTTTGCTATAGTCTAAGGCATCTTTTTCCTAAATGTATTACACTGTGAGGACCTTCTGCTTTTGATGGAAAAGAAAACATGGTCCCCATAAAAAAGTGGTGTTTTAAGATTAGGGTTAGGATGAAGGTGTACCCACCCAGCAAAAATTGGGCACAAAGACTTTGAAAAGACAACATGATTTACGTCAAAACAACGTCTACATTTTGTAGAAAAGTGAAAGGTGAAAAGCTGTAATTTTCAGCTCATTGAAAATACATTGAAAACTATCTTTTAACATCTGTACACTGTCTTTTATTTGACTAAAGCGGGACAAAATAAGACTGACGAAACAAAAAAGTATTACTGGAATAAATCAATATGATGGCTCGACCAGATTTAGCCTAAAAACCAAAGTCTAAATGACGTCTGGTGTTTGGGGAGTAAAATGAGTTCAGGTTAAACACTGGTAATGGTTAGGGGAAACACTTTAGAATAGGGTTCGCAAAATTTGATTAACTACTAGCGAATACCTTGAGAACTAACAAGAAACTAAGGGGTATTTCATTTTTTTTTTTTACTGGAGCACACACAGCTGATCCTTATTATTGGACTACTGCTTAGTTAGCTGGCTACCACAAAGTAACTAATCATGAAGTAACATGTATTTAACAAAGAAACTGAGTAAATAATGAGGATCTAAGGGGTAGTTGCCAAGTGGACGAAAGAGGAACTAAAAGGGAACTAAAGGATAGGTAACTTGTTCTTATTAGGGGGATTACTGGTTAATTACCAGTACTGTCAAAGGTACACACATTTGTTACTTAAGTAGAAGTATGGATACTGCAGTTTAAATACACTCTGGTTAAAGTTAAAGTATCAACTTGACGTCTTTACTAAAGTAAAAGTGAAAAAGTATGTGCTGCAAAAACTACTTCAAGTATAAAAGTATAAACTAACCTTTAAAAAAAACGAGCCAGATGCCACTATATGAATTGAAAGCTCAATTTTTTGACTATTTCGAAATATTCTCTGAGATAGGGCCAAGGATGAGGGAGGTCTAGTTGGTCTCCATCTCCCGATACGCTCTCGCCTGTGTCCAACCTTTCAGACATTTCAACATCTTTTTCTGAATCCAACATTGTAGCATGGCATAGATATTAATATTTACAGTTTGAAGAACACCGTCTTGCTTCTGACGATTTCCTTTAGCTAACCAATCAGTGTTTGCGTTATATTACTCATCCAATTGCACTAGTTTTCACTAAATGTGTATGGCACCAATGATCTGCATTGGATGGCACACATGACATGAAATAAATATTTATAAACATTAAGCCGAAGCCAAGAGTAAGGAGTAACGTTTCTTTTAAAAAGGTAAGGAATAGAAAGTACAGATACTTGTGTGAAAATGTAATGAGTAGAAGTCAAAAGTAGAAAGAAAAATAAGTAATGGAGTAAAGTATAGATACCTAAAAAGTGTTAAGTACAGTACTTGACACCTCTGTTCGTTACCACAAAATTAGAGTAGAACTTCTCTGCATAAACCATAAATCTTTGAAGTCAACTTAAGAAAAACTCCTTTACTGAGTAAATTATTGCCTAATTATTATTTAATGGACTTCATTTAGTCAAGTATCATATCAAGTAGTTACTAAGGAACTAATTATTACTCAGGAAAGACATGATCACTATCTGATGTTTTTGTGTGTCCTACATTAAAGTGAAGCATTATACAAGTACTTACCAAGGAACTTCATTACTCACAGTAATCACCACCTGATTATTAACTCTATACTTCATCAAATGTTTGTACCTTAGAGGTTCCTGGTTAGATTTAGGTTCCAAATCCATTGAAATGGGTGGATGATTAATAGAAGTCAATGGTGAGTCCTTTTTGTGATTAAAACACATGATATGAATGAAAGTGAGTGTGTTTGTTTAACCCCCAGAGCACTAAAAGATCAAACACATGTATTCCCTTTGTTGCGGCTGCGGTCCAGATTTTTTTCATTACGTTATTCACATGTTAACCCGTAAAGAATATCAAGCACGTACTTGACACACAGGTTGCAGGAGGTATTTGCATTGCCTTTGATCAAGACAAAGCACATATTTTGTGCACAGATACTGACAGTATTTCGAGACAAATGTTAATTCTAATGAAGCAGGCTTTGAGCTAAATTTTGTTTGAAATATTTAGGATTTTTGCATGCAGTAAGGAAAAAAAAATACGACTCACAGATGTCCCGCTTTTACTAACACATTTGAAGAAATGGTTATTTAATAGCATTTCAAAACAAAGTGAAAACATTTTAATTAAGAGGACAGCCCAGATAAAAACTGAGAAACACTACTCATCACTTTGAAAGAGACATTTATTTCAGAGTGCCCCTAACTTCTTTGGAGAAAATGAACACCATATTGAGCAATAAAATAAGCTGTCTGCAACCTTCAATACAAAGATTGGGCAAACCTATGAAGCTAATAATGAATTTAGAGAGCTCTCTAAAAAAGTAAAAAAATCACCCATTCTCTCGTACAGAAATCTGTCTAGGTTTGAAGCGCGGGTGATTTAAAAGAACTACCAACATACCTACCTTTGACACAAAAATAAATTTATTTCTTTAAGCAAACTGAAAGAAATTATAAGAAGTCAACAAAAGCAAGCATAAAATGTCTTCAGCACATCTGCTGCAGGCTCTTGCTACTCTTGATAAGATTATGCATCAATGTAGAACCGGAAAGAAACTGAACAAGCCTAAAGTGTCAGTCGAGAAAACCTTTACATTTTGAGAAAGAAAAAGACAGGACAAAAGTTTTTCAGAGGGAAAATACAAATACAGGATTTTGGATGGATAGTACTTGGACAGAAGAGACTAAATTTAATTATTTGAACACTAGAACAGCAGAAATGGTTTACATGAATCTTAAACAGCTGAAGTAATCTCATACTGTATCAATTGGAACCTTCTAAGAAAAATACAAGAAGCATTCAACGTACTATATATATTTGCCTTGAAATGCTCTGAACTTCCATATCAATGCATTTCTGCGCCATGTTTTTTTTTATCGCTGCACTTTATGAAATGAAAATGTTCAAAACTGTACTGTGCAAAACAAAATTTTGTTTAGTATACACTCTGTGTATACAAAATGACAATAAAAGTGTCCTGAAAGTCCAAGTCTAATAAAGATATTCCAATCTAAAACTGTAACAATATCTATTGAAGGTAGCTTGTCTTAAGTTTTTTTTTCTGAGATAAACAGCACTTTTAATTGTACTTTTCTTTAATGTGTAACATAAGTGTATTTTTTTTAGGATAGGATTTAACTTTTTTTTTTTACATGAGTGTATTTAAGTCCTATCAGGGTACATTAACATATGATACCAGTGATTGCTTTTATCAATAATTGGTTATATAAAAAAATTTTATACTTAGTTAAAAGTAAGTTCTAAATGGAATCTAGAAGCCAATGTTTTTTTGATCACAGTTAAGATGGAATGTCGAGACACAGAGCATGCAGAGGGCACCTTTGCAAATTCCCCTTACACCATCTCTCTACATTGCTCAGTCTTTGAAGTCCTCAGTCATTCTTTCTTATCTAAACTTACCCAAAAGGCTATCAAAAATAATTAGGGTCTGGGGACAAGAGAGGACCATTAAATAAGGATGTGTTGTATCTGATGAAATACCTTTGTGTTAATTAATTTAAGTAATTGAAATAGACATTCAATTCAACTGAATTCAAAAATATTGCATTGATCCTAAAGAGAAATTGACCACACCGTAGTTTTAACTGTCAGGGCCTAATATTAAAAGATTATAAATCAGGAAAACTAAATTGAGTGTGCAGAAATATTTTCGGCATGTTCAGCAAAATTAAAGACTGTAGGCACAAAAGATAAGAAGCACAAACCAGATTAGTTCCCCCCTCTTAGAAAGAACAGATTGCATGATCTGCATCAAAGTTATGCCAGTCTTCAAACTGACAAATTGAGAGTGGCCATCAAAGAAAGATGATGTTAAATGCCATTTAGTTAAATATATAATATACAACATCATAGAACCTCGGAAAGTTGACTGATACCCCGCCAACACAGAAAAAGCCACACTTAGATTAGATTCTAAACAGCTGAATCTATCATCTATCTCCATCAACTTCTCTAAATAGCTGCTTAGCCCAATACATTTCAAAACAAGGTAGGCCCATGAAAGTTTAATAAAAAATAACTGTACATTGCGTGGAGCCTGCTAAAAGCCTAATGGGAGAAAAAAAATCCCTCATGCCACAAGAGATGCACATCTTCAGGTGCCCTCCCTTTACAGCTGTGATGGATCTTCTTTGGTTTCTTTTAATATTCCATTTTGTTTAGTCATAAAAATGTAACCATGTTTGGAAGATCAAAAAATAACAATATTGGAAATATATTGTTATTTTTGATCTTCCAAACATGGTTACATACCCAGATCTCTCTCCTTTGTCAGTGATTATACCAATGCCTCCTTTGTGCCAACAATGACCACAGAGATTTTAGCTATGAGTTTGAACCTCACTTAAATGCTTAATTGCTATACAAGATGCACAAAAAAATGGTTGTAGTTGTGTTTTCAGATTTGTAAAATCACTTGATAAATTTAAATATTTAAATGTTCTCGGCCCACATATGTTGCGTTTGTTTATAATATGCAAAATACGATAAGGGATACCGCAACTGGCCCACCTTTAGAGGTACTTGCCCCTGCACCATTTTTGGGCCAGTGGCATCGCTCTCTCTCTCTCTCCTTCCCTC